GTGGTGGCCCTCCGTCCTCATCCCCATCCCGATTTCATCCTGTGCCGCCACTTCCGTCGCCGACATCGTGCAAACAAATGCGCATAAAAATCCATTATTTTAGCAAACACAACACGCACACACACCCATACCCTTACTCAGACACACACACAGCACCCTTTAACAATTCCAATGCAGTGCTGTGCTACAGGCAATTTTTTTTTCTGTGCACAAAATAAATATAAAAGCGTTGAAACGAAAACATTTTGGAACAATATAAAAATTGCAAAAACGAGCGCTCTTGGACTTTGTGGATGTGGAGGGGAGGAAAAATAGGTGCAAGCCCTACAAGAGAGTGGGGTCAAGGGTCGTTGGGGGTGGGGCGCAGAGTTTATTGGCAACAGTGTTGCTATTTGTGTAAACGACTCGTAAAATTTTATGTTGAAGCTGCTTCATAGTAGTGGCTCGCTCTGGCTTTTTTTTCCAGCACTTCGCCGCGTTATTCCAACCCTTTCTGCCATTTTGTTGGTTGCGCCAACACATGTACGGGGTCAGGGGTCAGCCTACAATTGAGTTGCATGTGGTGGTGATACTCCTTTTTTTGTTGGTAGTGTAAGTAGCAAAGGGGATTGCATATTTTCGGGCTGCGTTTCGATGGGGAAAATGGCGCAAATGATTGTAAACACTGATTACAATTATGCGGGCGGAAAACCGAAGGTGTGTGTTTGTCTATGCTTATCTGGCCATTGCTGCTGCCATTTTCTTTTCAATTTGTTTTGTTGTCAGTTCCAGCAAAACTGACATCTATTTTATGTTACAGCTGCATTTCAATTTTACCCCCTGGTCTGGTCCATAGAGAAAATAGAATGTGTCGGGGGCTATACGGAATACATGTAAATATTGGATATTGATTGCATTTCGCTTCGCCTGCCAACTTGTCAATGTCAACATGGTGCAGGGAGCAGCAGGGGAAGTCGCGAAATGCGTGATAGATCGCTCAACAATGGCGCCAGCGGAAAAGTGGAAAACTTTTATTGAAATTCATTAGTGGGAGTAGTGAAAAAGTTTGCATATTTACTTCCGCCCTGTCATATAATATCCCCTCTTCTATTCCTTTTTTACGGATTTAATGAAGTGCAACTGACATGGCTGTTTGGTGTCTCCATTTCGATGTAATTATGACTGGCACACTGGGGGCAAAAATGTGCAACTGTCACCGGGAATCCCATGAAATTGGGGGGTGGGAAAACTATATATAGCTCTTTCGATGCCTGCAGCACAAGAGTAAAGATTTAATTTGGCCTGCAGACTCCCTTCAACATCTGCAGTAGTTTGCTACCCAATTTCCAGCTTTGCAAATAGCCAAATGTTGGACTTGTCACTGCTAGCAAATATGATCCACTGACGACGAATTGGTCGAGCTGGGATAGAGCCCAGCGATGTTTGCGCTCTGGATTCTGTGTCCCAAATTAGAAACAAATTTGTTTAATTCAATCACAAAAAGAGTTGATTAAAAGCCATGCAGGCGAATGAGACATGTGCAAGCTGGCAATTAACCTCCTTCCCCAAAACTAACACCAATATCTAACGTTTTTCCTGCTAGCAAATGAAATTATTTTAATTTCAAATTCCTGAAGTGGGTTGAACTACTCCTCCTTCTACTTCTCCTTCTCCTGCTAAACAAAAAGCAAATGAATTGCAACCGAAAAATCTGCAAAAACTATCTGTCGGGTGTGTTATGTTGACTTTTCCTGTGGCTTGCTTATCATTGGTTGCTGTACAAATAGGGGAAGAGCGGGTAATTGCATTATTTTTTGGCTGCTGGTTTTCTGGTTACAGTTGCGTACGAAAGTACAACTTTTCCGTTGCATATATTTTGTTATATCACCGAAGCGCCCAAATGTCTGCGTGCCATGAGCAAATGGTTTAATCTTGTTTGCCACGAGTGGAAATATGGCCAGGGCAAAGGGTTAAAAATTAATGACGCGTTCCGGGGGACCCAACACAAATGTTGTCAAAGGCATCAAAGTGCCTGCCCACACACTCACACACCCACTACCACACACACACATATACATATTACAGGATACGTGGATGGAGCGTTTCCAATTAAGCCAATCGAGCTGCAAAAAGCCAACCAGGAATGAAAAAGGACTGAAGAGGAGCTGTGGCAGAGGAAGCGGAAAGGGCGCGTAATTAAAATTTAATTTGCGCCCAAAATTAGACTATGAAATTTCAATAAGGCGCCTCGGCTGTTTCGGAGTGAAAAGGCAAATATTGTACTGCCAAAAACAAGATGAAAAAAAAGCGAAATGGTAACAAAGTAAATTAGTTAAATTTTGCAACGAAAATCCCTTTGATTAAACGCAGCCAAGTGGATGAGATGGAGCTGTGGAATGAGAGGCTCAAAGGAGGCATCTACACGGGTAAAAACAATATTCATGCTCAGATGCATCGTGGGAATAAATATTGTTTACCCTAGGCTAGAAGGATATCAGGGCTGTTGATTATATTTCCGATCATTAACGCTTTATGTTCGATATAGACTTAAATTTAGGAAATATCTTTAAGAAGAAAACAGCTTACAAGCTAAGATTCTTCAAAACTATGAACTGATTCTTGCTTAAAAACATTTTCATTGTCTAGTTTGCAATGTTGTCTACATCCCCATATAAACATGGTGTTCTGCTTTCTAAGAAAAGCTTAAATAAATAACGAAGTCGCTGCTAAGCAGCCAAGATACAAGACAAACATGGCGACACAGAACCCCTTGTTCTTCCAACACCCCCTCGGCAATCTGAGCGCATAAATTGTCAAAACGAAGTGTTTGGATTAAGCTGGGAGTTGTGCTTGTGGCGAGCCACGAGACCATGACCTCGCCCGGCCACATTGGCTAGAAAAAGTGCACCGAAAAACCCAGCCAGCCACCCACCTGCTGGCCAATTTATTTATACGCATTTAAAACTGATTTATGTGCGGGAAGAAGGCGACAGCTTCCCCGTCGCCCCTTTTTTTGGCCAGGCAAACCCGTGAGTTGCGTCTTTAATTTAGCTGCCAACGAAATCCAACCACTTCCCGCCTTTCTTTTCGGGCCAACCACTATTCCCGCCACAAATGCATTTTCAATGGAATTTCTCACTTGCTAACGTGAGCTCTACTTTCTCGTGAGCTGCCAACGATTTATGTGCCATGTTCTGGCGTTCTTGGCTCCCCGCCCCTGCATCTGAATCCGAGTCCTCCATCCAGTGAGCTGCTGCCTTCACTGCTTAAAGTCGGACTTACCTTAAATCTGTTTTGGCACAATAAAAATACCCACATTCCCCGCTAGGCCCACCTCCATTTCCCTTTTTTTTTTTTTTGCACGGATGCCAGGCAACCCGGCCAAAAGAAGCTTTACATGGTACACACTCTGGGAAAATCTGTTATCGCATTAACAATTTCCTACTAATTTCGACACACAGCCAGGGTCGCTTGGCGATGAGGGGAAATCCTGTAGATATAATTAAATTGCGTGCAAAACTAACCAGCACTTGGGGTAGGAAATGTGTTAGAAGGGCACCCGGAAGAGTTAATACTCTTATGGATAGCCAACAAACTTAAAAGTTTATTATTATAATAAAATAGGTATCATATTCTGATTAATTTTATATAAAGGAGTTATATGTTTTCAAAAATATATTACACAGAAACCTTCCTACAACTTACGTACCCTGCACTGTTAGAGTATTGCCCATAAGCGTAATAATTTCATTACGAGACACAGGACCTTGGCAAGCAACAAAAATCAGATGGAGAAACCTTAATATTTCCCACTTGTATTTAAGTAATTATGCCGGGAAAAGTCCCCAAGCGGGAAAACACAACTGATTCACGTTCGTTTGCTTGTCAGCAGAGGGCTTAAATATTTGCCTTGGCATTTATTCACAAAAATCTTCATTATACATAAACATGTTATTTATACAGCCATCGGCAATTCACAAAGCGAACTAAGCTGCTTGGCAGGCAGATGGACAGAGACACTGAGAGAAAGGCAGTCGACAAGGACATTGGGGGCACGCAATAATTGCGGGGTAAAAGGGGACGAGGGGACCAAGACCTCGACTTAAGTCCTTGCACATCAACTCAATTGATGACCCTTTGGCAGTTTAACTGCCTCAACATCGCTTAATGTGCACTCCATCAACATAAATCACTCATACGTCACGTTAAACACGCTCAAACTTCAAATGACGTGTATTTAAACGCGAACCGAGTATGGTAGGGGGCACATGGCCATGGCCATAAATTAATTAAGCCTGCCCGCTGCTCTCTCGAAGGTCCAAGTTCGCGGTCCCTCCCACTCCCCCTCCCATCCGTTTTGCGCTATCGAGCCCGCCCCTCTTAAGCTGCAATTAAACTGTAAAAGCGAAAAGCGAAAGCGGACCGTCGGCAACAGCAAATTACAACCATTTACAATTAATTTGAACAACACGCTGCCATGCAAATGGCGTGCCATGGCTCATAACTTCCATTGGCCACCGAAACCCACACGCCGACGCACTCTTTTTGAGCCATTAAAAAAGGACGAAAAGCGGCCAACGTGCAAATACTCAATTAGCATATCAATAAATCAAGAAAAATGAGTGTTGGGAAAGGGACACGCCTCCGAGCGTACCCCTTCGACCTTCACTGGGGTAATCAAAATTTAGTTAACAACGCCAAACAATTTATTAACTCACAGCGGCTCACAAGCCGTTCGACCTTGAGTCTGGCCAACGTGACGTATACGTAATCTGATGGCGTGCCAATCCAATTAATCAAGACGTCCTGCGGCTTGGCCCTATTGGATTGCACTTTTGTCAGGAGTATAAACATGAAAGCTTCATTCAGAGGTGTTGGCATTTTTTCATTGTGTTGGCGTCAAAAACAGTTATTAATATCATTAATTAATTATTATTTTTTGCTCAATTAAACATATTTAAATTGTAAAATTTCCCAACTCATTTGGATAAAAATCGTTCAGTATATCAGTTGATTTTGATATGTCCACTAGCTCGATGTTATTTTCTGTTTTTGTGAGTTGAAAGTTGAGCTTAAGCTGTAAGCTATATATTATCAGTTTGATTTTATAGCTGCTAATCTGGTTGTTTTATCTGATGAGCTGCGAAATAAATTGCAAATTGGAGAGGAAAAGAGCTGCAGTATGTAAGCTTTAATCTCAGAAAAACACCACATCACTTTCCCATATTCTGTCAGGATTTATCCATCAAATGCTGCCACCTAACTCGTCCCAAGCTGGACAAAGGCAATGCCGAATGTAGAAGGAGTCTCAACTTGCCAACTAATCGGAAATTTAACTTTGCCGAGCTCTATACGATAAATATGGTAAGCTAAGGAGTAAAAAAGGCCTAGATACCTTCATCTGATCTCATTAAAAACAGTGCATTGAGGAGTGCAACTACATAAGCTGTGGGTACATTGAAATCGATCCACCATATAGACTGGATTTGGCCAACATACGCCTCAACCTGAAGACCATGGCCCCTCAGCCGCAGGAGGAATCGATTCCTTTCCTGGTGGATGCTTATAACAAGTGCGAGGTGTTCCGATCTCTCCATGGAGGACGATTCACTCTCCACCTGCCGGATATTGAATTCATCGAAGAGCCCTGCAATCCATTTTCTCAGCAAATCACCATATGTGTCCGTATCCATGCCATGCAAAAGTGCCCCAGTAAGTTCTACGTGGACAGCGAGGAGTGTCGCTTGGCCAGGGAATACTTCACCCAGTGCGTTGGGGATATCGAGGGCAATCTTGCCTAGAAATCAAACAGAAATCAGGGAAAGTTCAAAGAAAACCCCTTGAAAACTTCATTTGAAACCTCCTAAAAAAAGCGTTTAAAAAAATAAAAGAAAAAGTCATAAAAGTCATAGATGAAATATGGCAATTTGACTGTCGAGTTCGTGTGTGTGTGTGTGTGTGTGTGGGTGATTCTGCTCTTGGCTGCAGTGTCACAACTGCAAATTGAATCACACTCACACAAACACATATACACACAGGACCTGCTTGCATGTCAATGTCCTTTGCTGACTTTGCATAACTTCGTCTGCTGCTGCAAACACCACTTCCCCCAAAAGCTCCTCTTCCACTATTTAAACTTGTTAGTTTTTTGACACTTTTTTTAACACATGCTCATTACTTGTAACATGAAAGAGGGTATATCAGTTAAGGGATCAGTTGGTTTCGAGATAATTTTGGGTATATTAAATAGGTTGACTTTCAAGGTATTTCATGGACTTAGCAGATAGGCTATTTAAGGCACCATTTCAGTTCATACTTTTACTAGGTAATCCACGTTCCATCATTATTCTAACACTTCATCTCTCTAGCCAAGTCAGCAGCAAAAGTTTCCGTTATATATAACACGTTGGCTGGTCTGTCTTCGGGTGGTTTCACTGTTTTTTGTCGGTGTCGCAGGACATGTTATGCAACTGGAATAAAGGAGCAGAATTTATGTGTTAGCTTGGATGACTGTGCCAGCAAGTCCTCGTCGAGCCCTTCCATCCTCTTCTTTCCTAGCCAATGTGTCTGGCTTTGCAGCGTCAGGTTAAACGGGATTTATGTCCTTCAAGACATGCAGTCTCAGCCTGTTTTCTTAAAACAATTAACGTATTACGGCTTCTCTCGCTTTTGGCCTGTGTCTGCTGCCAAATCCATCTCCCCGCCTGTTCCCTGTTTGTTTCTCTGGTGTGGAAGGGTTTCTGGTTCTGGTCGTGGTCGTGTCCTCTCCAGTTCTGATTTGCATTTCCAGCCGAGAAGAAGATGGCTGGATGGCAAGGAGGCAAACTGGAGGCCCCAGGCTGGCAATCAAAGGACTTTGGCTTTGCTTGGCATTTTTCTTTAATTACGCCCTCGAGTCAAATTAAAAGCAAATGATAGTTGTCTCCTTTTCAGCTATATCCTTTTCCCGCCTTTGCGCTCCTTTTCTCTGCATCCTCTGTGGCTCGGCGGGATTTTCCAGTTTACTTAGTCAAATCAAAGCTTTCAAGAAAATTGTTTTCCTTTCTTTCTGATGGTCAAACTGCTGACCAAGGACCAAGTCGTCGAAACAGACACACCATCTACCGACCCCTCTTGCGAAACACTTAAAGGAACTCACACATTCATAGCTCCTTATTACATCTAGACTGCTTTGTTAGCTGCATGTCCTTGAGTGCACTTCAGTCGGAGCTTTCGAGTTTGAGGTTTTTGTGGCAAATAATTTGTGTAATTAAGTGACCACCGACAGCCCCCCACCCAGTTAATTGCTTATTTGTGTAGCTAATTAGTTGGGTATTGCCAACAAACAGGAGATGGTCAGGCATCTCAAGGAGATGATGATGCTGATGCGGATGATGGGGATGATGGTGATGATGGCGCTGTCGTGAGTGGCTCAATATACCTCATTCCCTAGACTCTGGCTGTATTTTTTTCACCACTCCCATCAGACGTTGTCTAGCACTCGTAATTAAAAAAGATCCATAAAAGCAACGGGCACAAAAACACACGTGTGCCCCCTCATCCCTGGGATGTCCTGCCCTCCTCCTCCATGGCAGGCTCCATAATTCAGGCAGGATACTGCACCACTGCACCACCACAGCACCGCCAACCGCCGTAACAAGCTGAAAGGGGCATGGCAGGGGATGGCGGAGCTGGCGGCGTGCAATCAAAATTATTATAATTGCGACGCGTTCGCCTTTGTGCGACAACAATGACTTCCGCTTCCGTGCTGAAATTCGCCTGTGTCTGCTTGTCATTCTATGTGCCATGTACCCACTGCATTGTTTTCAATGGGCGGGAGGAGAGTGGGTGGAACAGCACATTAAGTGCCTGCAAAAGACGAGCAACAAAGTGAACACACCACGGAGAGAAGGTTGGGATGGATGGAGTTTCCAACTGGGGAAGCTGAAAGATGGGAACAACGTGCTCAAGTCCTGGCAAAATGCAATGTAGGATGAGGAGGAGGGTGGATGAGTAGTCCTTTCCGGATGGGACACATTTTATGCAACCAGTTAGTATAATAGAGTGTGCAGCCAGCTAACTGAGCTCATCTCACTGCAAAAGGGTACTTGTGAAATGACCTGGCCTAAACTGAATCTAATCAATCAATCAATCAGAGAGCCACTCAATCAGCAGCCAAGTCAAACATCAGCCACACTCGGTCCTTGATGAAATAATTCAATTTGCGCTTTGGCTTGATTATTATGATTATTAGTATTATTATTATGACGACTCTGATTCTGATTATCGAACATAACAACTTCGGCAGGCGGCATTAATTCAGACAAAGTTTGCTGGTCAAACTGGCCAAGCAAAATTCTCAATCCGCATATGATGATTGGTGGTGGTCGGGGGGCTGGCCAATCAATGAAAGTGCCTGCCACACGCAACGTGCAATTTAATCAGTTTAATTAATAAGCAACATCGTTGCTGTTGGCCACGGACAAGGGTTGAGTTTGGCCGGAAATTGAGTGTCATTGTTTGTCATGGACACAAATGGCTATCCTGATTGCCACTGCAACAATGTGGCCGATTCCAAATCTTCGGCTAGGCCTCTTTACTTTTTTTAAATGACTTATTTATGGCACTCGAACAGGTCACGAATGGCCGACGTTTGGTAATGGCTTCATTTGTCTGGATCTGGCTCTGGCCCTGGCCCTGGCCCCGGCTGATTTATCTAAATGAATTGTTACTGCCGCGTATTTGTCACAATTCCGATGGAGCGGGTTGGGAGGGTGGGACTTTATCAGCCAGTTCTGATCCTTGGCATTTTCCAACCTGTTCCAGTTCAGCTTTACCGCTTCTAATTGCCTCGCATGCGACAGCGCCAAAGCCCCGCCATGGAAAACTCCCTTTTTGCATATTTAGTGAGCCATGTAGAGGCGGGGGCTTAGTGACTAGCGCTGTGCCCGGAAAATATGTGACCACCTATTTCACTTTTGGGACCCTTTTTTGGGATTTAAAAGGCAATCCTTAGTTTCGTGATCGATGGCCATAGACATTAATGGTGCTAAGTGGGCCATAAAAGCAAATGAAACTTTGCGACCACTACGAGAACGGCGACGACTGCATTTGAAGGCGGTCCTAGGAATTATATAAAAATTACATACATAAACTCGAGTGCCCACTTGACTATGCCATATGAATCCAAACACATACACATATAGCATACACACACACCATTCAAGTGGGCCACTCAGACACAAATATTACAATGGCAGCGAGTACAATACAATAAATCAACGACTCGGGCAAACTCACAAGCTCGACGGACGGCCTGCTACAAATAAATGCATAAACTTCGAGTGTCAAACAACAAGTAGGAAAAAGTAGGAAAACTGTGGCAAGAGGAGCAAAGGGGAAGGGACAAGGGACAAGGGTATGTAAGCAGGTTGAACCGTTCCAAGCCATTTCCCTCCATAGTCAATGAGCTATGAAAATATGAAAAATATAAGCGACAAAACGTGTCATCCATTGTCTATCCAAAAATTCCAAATGGATGGAGGAGCGATGGCCGATTGCCATTATTTGAAGAGGGACTGTGTGAACGGGGCTATTTGGTCAGTCAGTTTACAAATCACTTTCCATATGCAGCTTGACTGGTCAGCACTAGCACTTGTCAGGCATTACGCATACGCAGCGTTGACCGAGTGGAACCTGAATATATGTATAGATAGAGATGCTTGGTGGACTCATGATATAATACAAGCACGCATCGATTTAACCTTTACAAGGCGTGGCCCATCCGACAAAAAGGGAGACACAAAGTCGGCCAAAGAGCAGAAATCTGTTGAATATCAAATAACAATCACTTGGCAAGCTAAATATATCATTATGCCTAAGTAGGCGGTCGTTTTTAGGGGGAGCGAGAGCGAGAAAAAGCAGAGGAGCTACAAAAAGCTTAGCACATGCGAACATGCGAAGGCAAAGAAATGGGATATGAAAAGGAGTGTGTGAGGGGCGGGTGTGTGTGTGTGGGTAAGGATTTGTTTGTTGCCTTTCTTTATTTTCCTTTTTTTTCGGGGTGGCTGTTTGTCGGGCTATCCTTTTTCGCTTCCTCATCCTGCCTCCTTGCTTCGCTACTCTTTTTATAATCCTCACAGCTTGCATGTTTGCTTAGCACCTTCGAGGGATGGGAAACCGGCGGATGGGTCGATGATGCGGAACAGGTTTAAAAAGTTTAAGCCGTAGAATCCTGTTGTTGCGGCTGCTGCGGAGGTGACTCTCCTCTCGTTTGTTCGGTTTTTGTATAATACATTTGGCAAAAATTTACAAATCATCTTGCATATTTGATTTGCATACAAGATTTTTCATCGCAACTGCCAATACCACCTTTTTTCGGGGGCTATCATCCTCACGGGTATTTGGAGTATGGGTGTCCTTGAGCTCGTTTGTATGTCGCCGAATTGCACAAGAGATTCACAAATTGCTTTCATTGATTGCCGACAAAGCCGAAGTGAGTGAGTGAGGTGAATTGGGGGACTTTGTGTGGCACCTGGGCTTGTGTGTGTATGGGGGGCTCAAAGCACCTTGACTGCCGGTGGGAATTTGCCTTAAATTTTCGGCAGTTTCTTCATGCTCCTAGCACGTTAAACTGCTGGTAAAGAAAAATCTCTGGGCCACGTTGCGTATGAGTAATGTCGCTGTGGGCCGGCTGCTGAAGAGTCCAAACAGCATTTTTGAACTGACCAGATGCTAAGAGCCCGGCCGCGACCAGTTGACCCATTTGATTTCTTTTTTTTTTTGCTATTTCTTACACTTTAACGAGAAATTTGGAACATTTCGAAGTCAACCTTTATTTCTAATCTGTGGATATGAAAATATTTCTTTGAGAAAATCAACTTTATTATCATATCTTTTATTGTGTTTCGTATTGACCCTATACTTCATTCAATACAAAGTGAGAAACACCTTTTTGTTAAGTGTAGTTCCCTGGCCATTTGTCGTTTGTTGCGTGCCGTGGACGTCTACGTGAAATTATTACGCTGCAATGCATCATCAAAAGTAAACAGCAGAGCAGCACAGCAAAAGCAGCTTGGCACTAGACAGCTTGAGGGATGGCGGGATGGTCATGGGAATGGTCATAGGAATGGGTGTGGCATTCGGGATAGGGAGGATGAGGGCCAGCACACCGAAATGTGCGTCTGACATATTGGAGAGCGCCAAGAGCCAGAAAAGTGGAAACTGGACGGTGGCCATTGGGGGAAACTATAAATTCCAGCCGGAATACGCAGCGTACAGCGGAAAGGAGAGAAAAAACACACAAAAATGTATTTAAACAGGCGTTTATTTAACCGCTAAACAATTGAAAGCAAGCAATTTTAATGAAAATCCAATTGAACTGAATTTATTAATACCCTGTAATGGAATCCAACTTCATAAAGGGTAACATCATGGCTCATGGCTATTCCTCGCTTACCCCATGCCTTAAAAATTTAAGATAATATGTTTATATAATACATTTTTATCATGGCCATGTTTTTATGCTAAATGGTTTATTAACAAATTAAACCACTTTTTTTTTCATTTTCCTTTTACCAATTATGCCATTTTCCATTTTGACCATGTAGGGTATCTTTGGGAAGCATCAGCAGTTAGCAAGGCACTGGATGGTGGACATGCCACTAGAGTAATTGTTATCCTTGCTGGCTGTGCACAGGCACGTAAAGCCCTTAAAACATGGACAAAGAGAGCAAGCGAGAGATAGAGAGAGAGAGACGCGGAGAGATAGGAAAGTGGAGGACGAACAGGAGCAGGCTAAACAACAACGCCACTTCACGGCACGAGCCGTGCTGCAGGAGCTGAAACAATCCTATAAGCAGCACTCAGCGGCACGCACTTGAAGCCCGGCAAGCCAAGGATCCAAGGATCCAAGGACCCGAGCCCAGATCCGGTCCCGGGCAGCTAAAACTGCAATCGCAGCTGGCTCCGGTGCCCGGATCCTTGTCTATTTGCCTTCCCGAGAAAGGGCGAGGCGAGGACGAGCACAGCTGGGGCGGCACTTTTCCTTTACGGCTCAAATTTCGTTTGCTACTGCTTATTTATTTTTAATATTTTTATTTGCCCTGCAAATAGGCTGCGGCGGTTGCTGCTGCTACTGCTACTGCTCCTTCGTTGTATTTACTTTCGCTGTTGTTGCGGCGGCAACGCTTTTTCTTTTTATGTTTGCCAGTGGTTTTCCGGCGGGGCAAATCTTTGCATTCCAATGCGTTTCAATTAAGTGGGCCGACTTCAGTTTGGTCACGCAGAAATTAAGCAGCCCTGCAGGAATTTCTCCACACAAAGTCTTTTACTTAAAGTCTGAATAAATCAGGCACTAAAAGGCGTAAGCAAAACTTCAGTAATGCCCCTCGACTGTATAATTGAAAATACAAAGCCCATTTATACGAAACCCGATAAAAGCGGAACCAAAGCGACACCGACGGGAAAGTCTGAAATAAGGCAGCAAAGTGGCAATCACGCCAATCACGCGTAATAAATCATTGCGTGAGCGAATGTTTTCATGCACCTCATGCATACTTACTCATACCTACATATATATTTTCCCAGTTTGTGTAGCATTTTGGTGGGTCAAATAGGCGGTGGGAAAGGCAGGAAACTCAACGGACTAACGACAGTCACGTGTGGCCAACACACACGCAATAAGACCAACCGTATTTTTTATATCCACTTTTATACATCGCATAGCTGGGGAAAACTCCCCCAAACACGCATGAAAAGCACAAGTTGACAGCCAAACAAAAGCCAAAAAAGCGACGGTGGCCCATTGTGAGCGATGACAAGTGCGGATTGGCTACGCAAACAGCAATTAAAAAGCCAAAAGGCTTCAATTAATCCTTGACCTCTTGATATCGAAGCAAGCCATTGCCACGACCTGCTGACCAACTGAATGACTTTCTTACTGAGAGAAAGAAAATTTAAGAAAATCAATTCTTAGATTGTGTTTGGGTGCTAGCCCAATATTTATTATACAGCTTGGTAGCATACTTTCGGGCAGCAATTGCATTAAAAGCATTTAGAAAATGGAAGTTTTTTGATGGAAATCGTTTTTTGAATATTGTTACCCATTCACTCTCTCTTCTTTATGTTATTAAAAAGAATGATTAAAATGTTTTCCTAAATTTTCATTTTGAAGTATTACTTTTGAGATAATTCTTAGGCCGCAACTTTCTTATAATAAGCCCTCTGCTTCTGAGTGTTTGTCGGTGCTTTTGAGCAAGTGGAATGTCTCAGCAGGCTCTTAAGTAGAGCGCGCCCTTATCATTAGGCAACCCAAACTTGTGTACCACGCCCCCTGCGCAGCCCACAAGAGCCCACATCCATTATCTTGAGCAAGCAGCGCGTGTAATTTTCAACCTGTAATTGGTGTAATTGAGTGCAAGTGCGGAGAAAATATTCAACATGCCAGCAATTAACATAAATTCTCCGCTGCGCGTACAAAAATAAAATAAAAAAAAGGTAGAAAGCGTCCAAATGATAATGAAAGAAGAACACACACACACACACATACAAACGTTAGGTGATGAGGGGTGTGAAGATAAGCAAATGGCCGCCATTCTGTGAAGCGTTCATAATTGCCCGCGTTGTTGGTCTGTGTGTGTGTGTGTGGATGGGAGCGAGTTTGTGTTGGTGTGAGGGCGTGACAAATGCAGCCAGCGATTTTATAGAAGGGTTACGAAATCGTAGCATACTTACACGCGCAGCGGGCTGAGCCGTATGCGAAACCCTCGGCGGAAGTAGTTTATGTAAATGACAGACCCAGCATTCCATTTTTTCCATTTGCCATCCGCTATCCGCCATTTTCTCACCATCTCATTTTCTCTCCTTTTTTTTTTGCAGGAATCAAGGGATTCCAGAGATTCTCGGAGCAACCCAAGTACACAGAGGTGAATCCCGCCGAGGATACGCTGCTCACATGCAAAGTTATCGACAAGCGCGGCACGTGCTCCTGGCAAAAGGATAACAAGGTAATTATATCAGCACACCGAGCCCATCTATCGATGGACCCAGTTTATAAACATTTTGATTAAACTCATAACTTGGCCAAAAGTCTCGCCCAAAAGCACAAACAGGCTAACTTTGTTGGCACACCACTACACACACATTCACATACACATACTAATACTCACCGACGTGTCCTGGCTAGAAAGCTCATATCATATGCGTGGCGCGTCCTGCGGTTCAATTAAGTGTTGTTCTTTTGGCCTCCACATGTGGCGAATGTAATTTACACCCTGACCAGGACGAGTCAATAATGAAAGTTGCCCGTGGACACGGAACGGGAGGTAGGGGTCAGGGGTCACAGGACCTGCGAAACAACACCCCAGACAGCCTTTCTTTGTTCGCCGTTGATTAGAACACACTGGCCAGCGCAACTTTTAATCGAAAGTGCGTGACAGCAGAGGACTGAGAGGGCAGCCAAACGGCCCAATTGGGTTTCATGGTAGCGCAAACATGAAAATATCCTTCGGTACTCTCCCGCTCTCTCTCTAGCATAATGTTGTTTAGCAGTTGATCCTTTGTGCAAAAAATCACATTTTTTTTTTATTTTATTTGATATGGCTTATGCTGTCACGATGGCCACTTTATATGACAAAACATTGTTTGTAATCCCAGTTTATTTCAGCTTAGGGCTTTAGTCGTTTACTAAATAAAAATTATGATGTATAAACTAACAAAATGTTTGAAAAAAAGGGAAACTACAACGTTTTTGAAGGAATTGGTTTAAAAAATCAACTTTTTAAAGCTTTCAACTATACAAAACAAAAATTGAAGAATATTTTCCGTAGTTTAAGGTCTCTTAAAGCTAATTCTCTTTTATTTCCGCATTCCTTAATGTCTCTATAGATACGTTATTCCAACAATTAAGTTATAGAAGTATTTTAGCTTTTTATGACTCAGATTATAGTCGAGAGTCCTAGTCATGCTTAATGGCCTTTATGGGCCATCCTTTACGACTTCGTTTGCATACCAGACCAGGCAAAACAAGAGAGAGCATCGACCTTTCATTTTTGGGGTGGAGGACTTTTTGTTAAATTAAATATTATTAGTTTTCTTGCTGCCAGCCCTGCCCTACTCTTGTTTTTACTGGTCAATATAGATGATGTCTAATGGTTGTTAGGGGAGGACAGAGATGGGTAGTAGATCTCCAACCTTGAGCGACTTCGTTTGCATACAAATCCAAAGTGGCCTCATTATGGATCAGCTTCAGGCGCAGGCGAGTGTGTGGAGGAATATGTTGTTGTTATTCGTTTGTTATTCAGGGCAATTGTGTGCGTTTGAAGCATAACTTTTATTTGCCACTCCCTGCAGTGTGTATGCCATCCCCACTTGTTGTGGTAGTTGCTTATGCAAATGCACCCAGCTAAGGGACTTTTTAAGGAGGAAAGGGGATGGCAGTCCGAATGCCATTGTATGACAAAAATCAGAAAGCATTTCAAATGTCCTTTTTCATATGCTGCGCATCGCAAACTCTCGCTCTGCATCACATACTTAAATGTTTACATGCTTTGTGTCTCCACACTCGAACACAAGTAAAAGGAAGCAAAAAGGACGAAAAGGACCAGGGGCAAACAACATTTGCATGCATCGAGCGTCTCACACACACACACACACAAACATGCTGATGTTGCTGTTTCGGTCTTCATTTAAAATTCTTCTTATTTTTGCATACTTATTCCACTACCCCCTAACCTCCTCCCTACCCAAATTTTTTTCTATGTGTGCTTAACGTTTCCCAATTTCCTCCATTTGGGTATATAGTTCTGTCCATATATTCTACGTGTAGTTATCATAAGAATCGACATTTGGAATCGTTTGTCCCCCCAAAGAAAAGCAGGGGGCATGGGGCTTTGTCCATTCCCGAGCTGCATTCTAATTTAGCCAAAAAGGATGTCTGTGGAAAAATTTTCAATTCTATCCATGCCTCATCTGTGTGTTTTTCTTTTCAGCAGTGCATTTCCTGATAATTCCGAAGCCCAAATGGAGAATATTCGAGTATGATATCAACAGCCAAACTCAGCCATTTGAATAAATGTAATTTTTGGGCATCGCACATTTTAGTTTTTTTTTTTTTCTTTCCTTCCCCAGGCAAGCAAAACGATTCGGAGGCTAAAACTCCGGAGTTGTGGCTCCATTTTGTTGCTTGCAGATTTCACATTTCGAAGTTTGAATATGCTGAGAATTATGCCGATACGAATATCGATTCGAGAATGTTTTGGCAGCAATGGCAGCGTCAATGGGCCAGAGCCAAATATTTGTTCAGTTTGATTTTTTATCTACTTGCCTAGAAATTGTTTTTCTGGCATTTTTTGGCAGTCTCGGCTTGGCTGCCCATTGAGAGGCTGATGCTGATATCTATTGTTACCGCAAAAGCCCTCAAACTTAAGTTAACCCTTGGTGACCGACAACCAATGATTATTCCCTGTGGCCAAGGGGTCAATGGATGGAGTCAAATGGAATAGTATCTCGTAGACATCAGAAATATGTGAAATCTGACATTCATGCCAGCCCGCAAGCTGTTTAATAAAACAGAGATACTGTATTCTATGCTGGCAGGCCAAGTCACAACTCAAGGTGGTCACAAATGCAAGTCACACTTTATTTTATCAGTTTGGGAAACAAACTAAATGCATTTGTGTCTATTTCCGCAAAATATATTTATAAATCTATATTTATATATATAAATACTAAGTGGCAGGAAAGCAAAGATTAGATTATGCACTTGCATTTCCTTTCGTTTTCTTTCAATAAATTTGAATGCTCGTTTTAAGCGATTGTGTTTTGCCATGGCACAAATTTAATGTAGCAATTAATTTAACCCATTATGCCACGGACAACGCAGACAACACTCAAAGCCAAAATGCAATTAGGCAGCTCTGTTCTGGGGGTTTTCAGGGTGGCGGGGTCTGTGGGGGCTATTCCCCATAAATACTTGAATGCGAACGATGCCACGCTCCGAGATCACTAATTGTAATTTAATTTCCAATTAGCAAACAAACTAATGCCAATTTACAGACAGAAGCAACTGAAACGACGACTGAAAATGGAGTTAAATGACACGTAGTGGTCGGGTGGAAAAGGCGTTGTTGTGGGCGGTCTGGAATTTCGGGTGGTATTTGCCCGGTGAAGTCCCCAACTCCAAACTAGTCTCCTTCTGTCCATTTGCTCGCCGATTTGTCTGTGTATGTTTGGCCAAATCGGAGACCAAATTAGACGCCTGACTGCATCGAAAAGTTAAACATGCTAAACATGTCGTAGACGACGCCCAGTTCATTTCAACGCCATCATTGATTTCATCCCTATCCAAATCCTTAACCCAGCTTCCTTTGATACAGAGAGAAAAACTATTAGTAAAAAGAATGTCATTTAAAAGCTAAGTCCCTAAACTAAGTTTCCTAAAGTGATATTTTCTGACATTTCAAATATCACAAATATACATTTTTTTCTTTAAGTGAAGCTAATGCATACCATTTCCTTATCCCTTAGCCCGTTGGCATCTATACCAAGAAATACGAATGGGCCTCACGTATGCCGTCGAGCGACAATGGGAATGTCCTGCATTTGGACCTCCATCCGCCGCCGGTGCAACTTGGTGGCGACTGTTCTCTGTGGATCCGTTCAGCCACGTTGGACTTTGACGACGGGTTGTGGGAATGCCAAGTGACGGCCAGTGACTTCACCACCCAGGATGCCCTCACCAGCCAGCCGGTGCGACTTGTCGTACGTGGTAAGTGCCTTCGAATCTGGAATCGATTGATGGGGTACAGCTCCACAGAGCGCATGCAAAGTGTCCCTTAATTCACCTCCTGAATCCTCGAGACTTAATTGTTAAGGACATTCCCCTTCTGTTTGCAGTGGCGCCACAGCGGCCGAGACTCGAATATGAGGCGGTACACGTGCCGCCAGGACACAACATCACTGCAGACGCCGGTGCTCTGGCGACGGTCAAGTGCGTCTCGCATTACGGCAATCCGCCAGCCACTCTCAAATGGTTTTTGGGTAAGTGCATTCCTTCTGGGTACACAGAAACAAAATGTTTGTACTTTAAATACGGAAAAGTGATTACGTGCCTAGAAAAATTATAGTTATAATCGCCACAAATCGTGATCTTAAATTATAAAGTTATAATTCGGAAATATTTAAAAAAAAAAATGTTATTTTTCTGAGTGCTAAAAATCCCATAACCACTTTTGCCGGTGTTTTGCAATGGTAGTTGTTAATGTTAATTAATTCCCATTTGTTGCTGTCTCCCCCCTCCAGGCGACCAGGAGATATCACCCATCCACCCGCAAATGAATGCCACCGAGCCGGATAATCCACGCACCTGGTCGGCCACCTCGGTGGTGCAGGTGTCGGCGATGCGGGAACGTCACGGAGATATCCTGCGGTGTGCCGCCTACCATGAGTCCTACACGGCCAAATCGGTGGTGGTGGAGGCCCGGTTGGACGTGAAATGTGAGTGCTGTGATAACGATAGGCAAACTATCGTCATTTGATTTGGCTTAAAGTCCGGGCCAACTAAACACACACACACACAGAAACAAAAGAAGCAATAGAAAGCTAAAGCTAAACCCAAATCCAAATCGGAGACAGAGAGAAAGCTGTAACAATTAAATTAACAACAATTTGCTGTAATTTCCTGTTTTGCTGAGCAATTCAAGAGTTGACTTGTCCCAAAGGACGTGGCCAGGAGCAGGACTTGCCCGGCTTGTTGACTCTGTTTTGCTCGGCTGCCATTGCTGTTTCTGTAGTTTTCTATTGCTGTTTTTGTTTTGCTTAACCAAGTTGAACGTCTCCGTCGCCATCTCCGTTTCTGTTACTATTTCTGTTTTCTCACAGACGCGCCGAGCATCCGTCTAATTGGCTCGCCGGAAATCGACTTGGAGGAGGACAAGGATGCCCTGGTCCTGCGCTGCGTGGCCGATGCCAATCCGCCAGCTAGCATCGTCTGGCGGCGGGCAGGTCGCTCTGAGATAGCCAGCTTGCAGGTGAGCTTAGTTGCAGGCAACCATCTTGTTTATGTTGTTCCCAAATTGCTCCAGCTAGATCCCTTCGCTGGGTATTTATCTGAAGTGTAGCAGAAATTTGTAATTGTATTAAATTGCCTGCTGATCCACTCTTCCTCCTCCTTCTTCTCCTTGGTGCCTTGGCTCCTTTGGCTCCATAACTCCTTTTGCCGCCACAGGAAACTCTGCAATTGCGTCCCGTCGGACGTCGCGATGCCGGATTGTACACCTGCCAGGCTCAGAACTCGGTGGGCACCTCTGAGCAGCTGTCGGTGCAGTTGGATGTGAAATGTACGTATCTTACTATTTACCTTGGACAAAGTTTTCACCCAACTCTGTTTTATCACGACCACTCTCTCCCTCCAGATCCTCCCAAAATTATTTCAGCTGGTCCGGATCGACTCACCACCGCCCCGCTTTTTAGTCCTGCCGCCTTTGAGTGCCTGGCTGATGGTAATCCCCTGCCATCCTTTAAATGGGTACAGAGGTAAGTCTATCGACATATCTATACACTGGGAATCAAGTCGATATGTGGGATATTTTGGGTTTAGCTAATTACCCAAAGCATAAAAGTATTTCCAAGGAATAGGAAGTCTTTCTTCTATGTCTTCATTAGTGGTAGAGAAAGCAAAAATCTGCTCATTACCTTGCTAAATGAGTACTTGAGTTCCAAGAATTAATTATGCATAGAAAGCGGGCTAAATATTATTTTCTTGCTTGATTGTTAAGCCCGAATAAACTTCTAAGAAATCAACTTTTCTCTATGTGCATAACATTGAGTTCTTCGGCAGTGTGCGTTGCATACTTTTGGGGGCTCTTCCCGTTTCAGTTAGAAACTTTAATGGTCTTGCTTTAAATGTGTGGCTGGCTTTTGAACTTTACTGGTCTTAAAACCAGTTATTGTAGTCGGCTGAATGGTAGCGCTAATTAAACTTGGTTCATTCTGCGTATGCGCAATATTTGTCCCGCCTCTAAGATGAAGATGATGTAAAAATGCCTGCAATGTTATGCAATAATTAGTTAAATTTAGCATACCAACTCCTTGAGTTGGCTTTTTTAAGGCTGCTTTGTGCCCTTAGGAACACCGTTTCCCTCTTACGTGAGCCCGTTTCCTGTTGCACATTTCCCTTTTGGAAGGCACCACGCCCGTTCCCTTCAGTGCTGATGATATTTTGCGTAATTTTAATTAGCTACTCAGCGGAAATTGCCTGAACCAAGGGAAAACAACACGAAAGAACTGCTGCTTCTTGACATAATGCAGCTTTAGTACCGTGTAATTTAATCCTCCAGTTACACCCGACTTAAGCAAAATATTAAAAATACGTCTTTCTTACCATCTTATTTTTACCAAAAACAGTCATTTTTTTTGGTTTCTTAATTCTAATGGATCTGCAATTCATACTAATTTTTCTCAAAGAAAATGATTTTGACACCCTTTCAATAATGCATAATTTGATTAGTGACGATTTTCCCCTCAAATCAAAGTATTTTTGCCATAACTAAGTCAATATTAGTCCGAATATAAAATGTCTTACCTCGCTGATCTTGAATTGTAATTCTTAACAGATCTGCATTCAAAGTTAAAAAAGAACATCTTTGGGCATCTTTAATTTGATGATCGAAAATGTAAAAATTGGTTACCTCAGATTTTCTCTACGAGGTCTCAGAATTATAGCCATAACGAAGCCAATAATGGTCCGAATATGGAATGGAATACCTCGTTAAACTCGAAATTAAATTCCAATTCGAACTGTATTCACAGTTTAAAATGTCAAATTATTGTAATTTTTTGCAAAAAATGATGATGGTACCCCTTATCAAAAATGCCAAAAGTGGCAAAAAATGGATTTTGCCCCATCAGCCCCAAATTAATAGGGTTCCTAGTACTGGTCGTTAGCTTCAGAAAACAATCGCTCTTAGAGCTGAATGTCTTGATTTGACCATTTTAAAGCCTAAAAGCCTAAAAAAAATCGTTATCGATTGTTAAATCGATTTGGTTAAAAATCTTAATCCTAATATTGCTCCAAAAAATGTCAATATTTTAACCAAAAGTGGTTTAAATATGGAGTGTTATAGTTCAGCTAGTAATTGAGATTCTAGTAAAACTGCATACCAGCCTTAAAAAGTGAATATTTGGAAATTTTTAGCAAAATTTGGTGAAAATGCGAAAATAGGCTGAAAATTGATTTTGTCCCTTCAGGCCCAAATTAATAGGGCTAAGCAAAACAGTGATTCTTTTAGCTGTACGGTTTTTGAGATCAACTTTTAGGTTTAAAGCCTATCCTGACTGTAAGGTCAGAGGGACTGCAAGTGAAATGCCTGCAGGATTAGGCTCCTTCCGTTTCTCCTTTGGTTGCTGATGCCGACGTATATTAGTATGCAAAGCAGGCGAATTCAGTAGAAAAATCGAAACACTCCTCATGCATATGACTGTCTATAGCTCTATCTCTCTCTGTGGCATCATTCTGTCTCCTTCTGGCCTTGGTGCTCTTCTAACGCTGCCACGTAAGTACGTGATTTTTGTGATTCCATTTGTTTGCACTTGCCCCCAGACAATCGGGCCAACATAAAACATACACATCTAAGCCAGATCGTGATCGGGCGGACATATATATATATATATTGTGGCATATAAGATATGATACGGGGGATGGGTGGTTGTTATGCGAAGGTGTCGCCATCTAATAACGAATGCCACATGCAACACATTGACGTGTTGACTTAATGAAGCGAATGCGCGCGTGTTTATCAGAAATTAAATGTCAATTGTTGAAAACTAATTTCCACGCATGTTCTCCAAACACACCCACCATGGCCACCCACTGGCCGCCCACTGCTGCCACCCAACGAATTAAATGGCGCGTGCCGTGTTGGGTAAACAGCGGGAGTCGCCCATTTGGAACTGGTGGGTAATAAATCAATGCCACGAAGTGAGCCGCTGACAGGAAAGGCGACGTATGCTCGGGAGAGCTCCTTAATCTCCCACCCAGGTGGTGTCTTTCGTTTGGGCTGCAAGTGCAGTCGTTGGACGGTTACGCCTTGCAAATGAGGTATCCAAGGACACGACACAGGACACGAAGTCCTGTCACTTTGATTTACGTGATTTCTTCGCTCGCCCTCAGTCTCTCTGGACTTGCAAGAAATGGCAACGAAAAGAAGAGTGCTTGCCAAACTTTTTCGACTTTGGAGATTTGCATTTGAATGGCTTTCTAATTTATTGCTTTTAATTGCTGGTCTGCCAAGGACCCTCCTTAAAGATCCTTGCTACCACTTAAAGCACCATCGAATATATTGGTTGAAGCGATTTCTGTTTCGGTTTTTTTTTTCTCTCTCTTATTGCTGCTTTTTGCGGCTCCCTCAAAAGAATCTGTGGGCCCAGAGCATTTCGCAGCTTGAAAGGCATTTCTCATATTAAAAATGTATCAAATATTTCTGTGAGCCAGCTCTTTGGCCCACTCGTCTGTGTGAGTCTGACTGCGAGTCGGGGCTTGCCTGCCTGCACCGAAAAATAACTCATACGCATACGCAATTTTCAATATTGCCAAGCAAGGATTGCTGCTGCAAGCAGCGGAGGACACATGGGAAAAGGCGAGGGGATCCTGACTCCGGATGGAGGAGGAATGTGGCCTCTGCTGCATGCATCAGTTTCATTTTGTCCGACTGGGAGCTGCTCAAAGAGCGAGCTGCAAAGTATGCACCATGCCAGAGTCCGTGACCAGATGGAATCCGTATATTAGTTCCGCATAATCATAATCAATTGCTACGCGAACTGGCTATTTCTATCTGTATATCGACTATTTCTTGGATTTATGTATTACAAATTGTGTTTGTGAGAGTTTAGTATGTGCAATCGCAGCTTAAATTAGTTTAATCCTTCAACTTTAGCGTAAGATTTTTGTATTATCCTTTTCATTGTAGAATTTCCCCATTTTCCTTACAGAATGGCCCATGGATCCAAGTACGTTGAGCGCGGTTCTGAATCCAGATTGGTTATCGACAACGTCACCTATGAGTACCAAGGCGAGTACGAGTGCCGGGCGACCAGCTATATCAATGGCCAGGAACGGGTGGCCATATCCGATCCGGTGTCGCTGCAAGTTGTGGGTAAGTCCCTATCTGCAGAGCTTGTATCTGCTGTATGGTGTGGCCATAAAAACCGCAATGCCACAAAATATGACGACAACACCGGACAGGCCCGCAACTTCCATGTTTTTCTCCACCTGACACGCACCGAATCCTTTAGAATAGAGCAGCCAGCGAAGCACTGCCAAAAGCATTTGCCAACCGACCCAACCGAAAAGTGTATCACGGGTTAAGGAACGGTCCATGTTTGTGGTCATAAATCTGCATCCCGGCTCTCTCTCTCTCTCGGCTTTTTTCGATGTCAATTTTAGTCCCGGACTGGAATGGAAACCAGTGTCATGGAGATGACCAGCAAAGCCACAGAGAAGGTGACAACACAACCGGACGAATACAAAAAAAAAAAAAAAATGAAAGAAAGAAACCCAAAACGTATTCCTCCTCGGGCTACTCATTTAAGTCCCACTCCCTTCGCGAGGCTGCCGTGCAACTAATGCACACTTAAAACAACTAACAAAACTCCATTAAAAGCTGTAGCCGGAAAGCGCCTGCAAAACATTTTAAGCGCTTGCGTTGCCACCTCCTCGTCGCTTTCCCGCCCGCTTTCCCCTTAAATTCTCCCCTTCTGCCATACAACCGTACAATTTCGCGGTGGCTGGCAACTTGCAACTGGACGGCAACGGACTAAACCAAAAACGTAACACAAAATCAAAATGAACTTATGACCGCAGCGCCAGCGGAACAAAAAAATGGAGCTGCAACTGCCGAGGGCGAAAAACTGGACAGCAAACTAGGAGAACGAACAGAAAAAAAAACAGAAAGAGAAAGAGAAAGAACTCTAAAAAAAAAGAGCAGCAAGAAATATTTAAATTTAGTGCTGAATACCACAGCACGTACATAATTTATGACCAACCAAGGACACGAGCAATTTAGCAGAGCCGGGAACAAAAAATGTGCACAAAAATAAACATGCACATGAAAAAAAACTCCTCACCACCACATCTATACATATTCAGGACTATGTATGTGTGTGTGTGTTGGTGTCAAGTAACTAACTAACAAACTAACTAAGTAGGACAACGTGCCAAAGTGTCAAAAAAAAGTGGGATAATCAGCAATTTCTCATTGTTTGGCCATAATTTCTCTCGGGCACGTAATTTTGTATCTCCGCTGATTAACATTTTTATAAAAATGTAAAGGATAATCCCTGATAAACTCAAATAATACATAAATTGAAAATCATTTTCCTTCTTAAATGAATTTAAAAGTTACTTTTCTGTTAGTTTTATCTCACTTAAAACTGTTAACAACATCTTTATTCTATTTAAAGGTTCAATATTCCATTTCCTGATTACGTAAAATAAATACTTTGATTATTACCTAATTAAAAAATATATCTGAGAAACTAATTTGCCTTTAAGTTCAACATAATGTAACCCCCTTAAAGCCTTTGAAATTACCAAGTTAGGTGGTTGAACTGCACCCTTCAACCACTCTATATAATTATCTTCGGCAGTGCGGCTGGGCGAATGCGTTGCGCCGCACTCAACTCAATTAAAAAGTCATCTGGCCCGGACTAAACGCGACTCCTTTATGCATTTTTCACCTTGTTTCCGTTGTCCTTGCAGGTGCCCCGCAGGTGCTGCGACTGCATCCATCCTTGCATACCGTCTCGGTGAAACGTGGAGAGGCAGCCAGTTTGACAATGGTCGTCTGTGCGGATCCGCGGCCACAACGCGTCGCCTGGGAATGGGGATCTCTGCGTCTGGAGGCTGGCTCGGGCATCGGTGCGTATACTTGTTTGATAGGCATTTACCGCTCAGCGCTTAACCATCCGCCCCATTGGTCCGCTAATGGTAATGCAATTAGGCGCTGGACTTAGTTTTGCCTACTCGGAATTCAATTAGCGCCGCTTTACACAGGATGCACAACGATGGCTCTGACTCTGGCTCCGCTCGAGGGCTCATTAGATTAACTATTCCCGCAAAAAGGGTTCGGCTATGAACATTCCTACAATCGCGAGTTGTTGGGCTGTTCCGCAAATCAAGACAAATTACATGACCGAGCGGAGTCAGAGTCGGACAAGAAACTGGCAGTGTCATGTCCGATGCTGGATATGGTGGGGAGGGGACCAGGAGGGTAGAAAGGGTGAGAATTGGGTGCCTCGGGCAGACTTCCCACGCCTGTCAGCCGCCGGTAATCCGAGCTTCAACAGACAGGCAACACACACAACCTGATTCACAACCAAGCTCATTTTCCAGCTGAAACTCTTTCGGGATGAACATCCGCCAGCAGATGCAGCTGCAGCGTTGTTTTCTCCCCTACTCTCCATGAACTTGAACTGCATCCTAGCCAGCCAGTGTTGGCCATTGTTGCCGGTTATTGATTACCTGACTTAACTGAAAATTGGAAAATTAAATTACAAGTAATTAGTAGAGAGCTTGCAGATTTATCTTAAATGATATAATAACTTAACCTTTTAATGATTTATATTAACTTTGAACGTTTATTTTTGAAAGTTAAGCAGTTGAGTAAAAAAATTGTAAAAAAAAATGAAGAAATAAAATATTATTCCTAAGAAACCTTTTGAAAACCAAACATTAATAACTTTAATATGGTTAGTCAAAGCTTATAAATAGTTCAGAATATTCACTACAAAAAAGTTATATTGATTACCAAGTCTAGATGTATATATATAATCCCGATAAAAGCTAAATTGGCAACACTGGTCTTGGGTCTGTGGGTCGCATTATTCTTCATTTTCAGCTTGTCTGCCCGTGTCCATCCTTGGTCGTCCTTCGTGCGTGTAATCCTGCGTGCTTTCACTGCCACTGACACAAATCAAACGGAGCGCATTCCCGACCAATCCGTTTCGCCCCTCCCCCTTTCACTCCTGACCTTTTTCCACGTCCAATGCTAGTTAGCCCATCGAATCGAATGATTAATGTCGGCCGCCGACAAATTGTGTGCAATTCTAGTGCAATTATTTAGCCCACGAAAGCCAATTCGCATTTGGCTAACAAGGACTCTTCTGTTCTATTTCCTTTTTTTTTTTTTTTGTCTAACTCTATAGATCGCTTCCGGGCCGATGACATGCAGCCGGACACTCGTGAGGACTGCTACCTGTCCACCCTGCACATCCTTCATGCGGATGAGCACGACTCAAGGCCCTACTACTTGGTGGTGGAGAACGAGCGGGGCACCGATCGTCATGCCATACACCTGATTGTGGAGGGTACGTTTGCAGGTGCATAGACTTTTCTTTGATTTTCTTTAGCCCAGAACCCCGAATTTTCCCCAAGTAACAACTAATTATATGTTTAAGTTGAACTAATTTGCACTTTACACATATGCACGTCACTTGCAATAACAACTAATTAGTTTTGGATCAATAGTTTAAATAGGAAATTCATTTTAAATACCTATTATTATCTGAGATTGATATTTGCAGGGTTTTCTTACACAATCATATTACGTTTTTAAACTAAAAACATAATATGTAACTAAAAGTTGACCTAAATTATACTTTTGAGACGAAACGAGGTAGATTAACTAGCCAAAATATTAATTAATAATACTAATACTAGGTATTTAGTTGGCCTTAGTTTAAAATTCAAACTGATAAGAGAACTCATTAAACATTACCCTTATTCCTTGCATCACTTCCCAATGATTTTAATTAAAATCAATCGCACGTGCAATACATGAATTGCATAAAATATATATACATATATATCTTCTGCATATGAAAATGAAAATTCCCTTAATGCTTGCATAATCAACGTCACCATCACCGCCACATCGAATACGAATATCCTTGTATCCGTCAACCGTATGGAATTTCCGGACAGAACCCTACGAGATGAGCTATCTGATGGGCGTGGCCGGGGGATGCATGGCCGCTATCCTTTTGCTGATTTGCCTCTGTATCTATGCGATCAAGAGCAAGAGATGCTGCTTTAAGGGTAAGTTGAAATGGGGAATGGGACTTGCGATTCCCCGAAAAAGATGGAACGAGTACCGAACAATCATCGGGCCCGTATTAATTGCACAGCCAGAGTGCCGTCAAGGCCGCGACAATTAAAACTTCCTCCTTGATTATGGCGCCTGTTACACCAACCAACCAACCACCACCCACCATCCTGCCCAAGGCCGCTGTCACACTAATTGCAAAAACACAAAAACTTGCCAGCTCACAAAGCATTGAAATGCGAGAAGGACGCGGTCATGGCGGAAAAAATGGCTGCCAGGATGGATGCGTCTCTTTGGCGCTTTGTGTGTGTTGTGTTGGTTCTCGTTTTTATATATTTTTTTTTGCGCCTTTTTTCCTATTCTCCTTGAAACTCGAAACTCAAATAAATCTCATAAAATATTCATTAGCGTCCAACGCCTGCGGTCAGTCTCCGTTTCCTGTTTGCCCCTCCACCACCCCCTAAGTACACAAAAGGGTTAAGGGTTTCGAGCCAGCTTTTTGTTAACTCCGCCAACATTTTCATCTGTTCTTTTGCGTGCTAAGGAAAAATGGCTTTAAGCCAGAGTGCGCTGCCTAATTAGAAATCAAAACGCAGACAAAAAGCGTTGAAACTTTTTACAATTGTAAAACAATTTGCAAAAAGGAGCAGGACTAGCAAGAGTAGCGAAAACTTTGCCATTGCTGAAGGACATTTGAGCCAATCCAAGGAAACTCACATCCCCCATGATCTGTAAACACTTTTCAGGATAAGCCCCAGCCACCTAATCGCAATTTCTCAGTTGTCAATCAAGCTGTCAATTTGACTGGCTGACTGACTGACTGCTGCAGCTGCCTTCCAGTTGTCAAATGCCGTTTGACAGATCTCTCAAGTGCGACCTGATACCATACTCGTATATATCTTCGGCTAAGGAGCCTTCACCCCTTCGATATCCATCAAAATTTGCAAAACACCTCCTCTGAGGAATTTACACGTTCCTCACAATCAATAAGTCCTTGGCTCATTTATCACGGCTCCAAGGGCGAATTTCAGATAAAAAATAATCCATATATATATATATATCCATCTGTCTGGCTGTCTGTTTGTAAATTGCCAGCGGTATTTTCACAGCTAATTTCTACTATTTTGCAACCAGACAGAACCACACCCTTCACGGAATAATGGGTGGAATTTATATTCCTGAATATTGCAAACTCTAATATGAAACTTCCCCGCTTTCTCCCTTTTCTTCCTTTCTCTTCTCGGATGGCACAGGTTCCACGGGCTATAAATCATCGGATAAAGACAGGTAAGTTGAAGCGTAATACGTACACACCCTTTCCCTACCCCTCTATACACACACACACACACTCTTAAATTGGCACACATACACATATACCTTCAGAGAGGGGCCATAGATAAATGACCATTTTGATATATTTTTATGCAGCCGCATCCTGCAGCCAACAGGTGGCGCTGGCGTGCCAATTTATGCGCCCCTACTGGCCGAATACAGGACCTCGCTCATACACAAATACAAAAGCACACGTACAGCATTGGAACAATGAAAAATGTTTTCCACATGCATGAGTGCGAGTGTATGTGTGTGTGTGGGGGGACATAAAATATTATACATTTTTCATATATTCAATATATGCACCGACGAACGAGCATTTCTGTTGGGCCAAAAACAATGCTGAAATACCCTCACGCGAAGTGTAAAAAGTCAGCCACTTGGGAGGGGATTAGTTTTTAGGAAAGCAGATTTGATAAAAATAAGAGTTTTTGTTGAATCAAATTTTAATTGTTGCCACAAAAGAAACAATTTTATACTCGATTTTAAATGAAAACAGATTTTGATTGTTCCATTTCATAGGTTTCCTAGTACCAAAAGGTATCCAATGAAAATGTTAGGAATAAATGAAAATACTTTTTAGCCAGAACTTATAGACCTTATATAAACCTTAAATATTCTTTATACCTCTCACATTCCAAAGGGTATATGAATAATTTTTTGTTTTCCAATAACAAATAGAAACAAAAGGGAACCTATCGCTCATTGTTGTTGGTTGCAGGATGCTGGTGCAACCCCAACCCCAAAGTATGAGTTATGAGAGGTTATTTGGCCATTCAGCGCTCTCCGTCCTGTGCTCCTCTTGTTTAGGAGTTTAAAATTACTACATTTTGTTTGTCAAACTATATACATGGCAGTTCAAATGGATCAATATGAAAAATAGAACGGAAATGGATTTAGAATTTCCGTTCCAAGTACACTTTGACTACAATTTCCATAAAATTCATTTTGTAGGCTGAATTTCTGGCCCCGTCTCTAGAGTAAATTTCTGTTGCGTAGGCAAAGGGGAATATCTAATTTCCTAAACCCCAAGTAAACAAAAGCCTAAGGCAAGGCAAGGCAAGGCGACGACAAAAACTAAATAGATATTCAGATATGCGTGAGGGATACAATTTGCCAATCAGCGATAGAAGGCAAAGAGCCACCCAACCACTTAACCACCACCCACACAATTGTCACTTGGGCAAACAATTTTCGATAACGATTTGGTCTCCTCTTCTCTTTTCCTGTTTTGCCCGCAGCGAGAAAGCTGATTTGAAATCACGCTCGGATAGCACGAGTGGCCCTCAAGGTGATTCGATTTACACCACGCCGGCGGGCTTCCATCATCACCAACAGCAGCAGCAGCAACAGCAACAACAGCAGCAGCAGCAGCAACAACAGCAACACGCAGCAGCAGCAGCAGCAGCGGCTCTACATGCCGCATCCCAACATCCGCAGCAACAGTACCCGGGACATGGATCGCCGGAGGCAATGAAGGTACGCATGGCTGCAATGATATTACAACCGCCCACTAGGGTCTAGCAGGCAATTGATACCACTAGCGAATCCAACGAACAGCTAACGCAACAACAACAACAACAACAGCAACACGAACTTACAAACGAACACACAACACCGAACGAACAGCGACTTGATGACAGTAACGTAAGCCACAATAATAACAACCACAAAATTAGTTCCACATCGACTACTGCCCTGACCAATAGCGATAATAACAACACCTCAGAGGTGGCCAAAACCAGCGACAGTAGCAACAGTGAGGGTAATAGTTCGCTGACTAGCAGCAAGAGTAGCAAGCGGGATCTGGAGAACAATATGAATAGGGAGATAAAGCCACCCACAGTGCCCAAGTTGCTCCACCTGAACGTGACGAGTGTGGAGCAGCAGGACCCGGTGGATCCCTTGCCAGTGGGTCCTTTAACCCCTGAGGAAACCCAGGTGTTGCTGCAGAAGCTGAGCATTAACAATCCGTTCTATCGCTTCCGCAAGCAGAGCAACTCCTTGAAGGAGCTGCGGCGAAAGGGTATGGTGGTCCCGCCTTCAGCCCGCTCCCGTTCCGAAACGGATCTGGGTCAAGTTAGTGGACTGCAGTTGTTACCACACCAGCAGCACAGTGAAGCCAAAGTTGTAGTTGTACTAGAGAGTAAGCAGCAGGAAGTAGCCATAAGTAGGCCTAGGAGTAGCGTTAACCTTAAGACTAGATCCGTAAGCAACCTGATGAGCCCCTCCACCAATCAGACGGGAGATAGCTCCACGGTGATCACGAATCCCTTCTCTATATTCCACGACGATGAGATCCTTACATTAAGCGTTAACACGCGACTGAGAAATGCAGGGAATGCCAGGAATTCCAGGCCACAAAGACAGACTAGGGGCTTACGAAGACTTTTCGAGTCCAGTAGGAATCAGAATCCTCCCTCGGAACATCACTATCTGCACGGTGTGCCAGTGCGGCGCTTCGAGAGGCAGGACTTTGACAATGATCCTGGAGATTTGTTAGGCAGAAGGACGAATACCTCCAGTGGAAAGCCCAAGCGATCGAAAGCGATTTTTAAGCAACTCTCACTGCGGAAGCTGCACCAACGAGGAACAACCGAAGATCCACCCTCTCTGCCCAAACTCAAGCTTAGTTATCCCAACAGGACGCATAGCATCCAGAGCATGAGGGCATCCGGAGGTGGCGGATATGACATCCAGCACACCACTGCCTACCATCCAAGACTAAACCATTCCACTTCGCCGGTGACCAAAGCCAACTACTTCGAACGACTGCAGGCCAAGACACGGCAGGGTATCCAGAAGATACGCGAAAAGTGCCGGAACTTCAAGACGAGCTCTGGAGAAGGAGGATCCATGGGCGGTTCCGAGTTCAGTGGCTTTCACACCCTGGCCAAGGATGAGAGCTTTCGCTTCATCAGTGATCGGGCGCACATCTCAAGCTATGAATCTCGATGCAAACAGGCCACCATCTACAAGAGCTACAAATCAGAGATTGATCTTAGCAAGAACCTGCACTATTTGGATGCCTATTTGGAGCAGAACTTTGATCACCAACTGAGCACCACCAAACAGTCGGCGCACTCTGTGGGTCGAGTGAGTGGAGCCCAACGAAGAGCTCTAGCCAAGCAGCCTGATCCTGCCCCAGAAACTCCTCGTCGGCCCAAACACAAAAGGAGTCAGTCGCAGGCGGCCAACTATGGTGCTAATTATGAGAATCTTGGAACCCTACCCATTGCATCCAAGTCGAAGGTAAGAAGCTCCGCCCTCCACTCGGACTCGATGAGCAGTTCCGACTATGCCTCGGTGTTCAGTGGACCCACAACTAATAGACAAGAACCAGAGGACGATGCCAAGGACTTTAAACTGCGCTACGAGCACCCGGACAAAATGTGCGAATACTACTTTGACAACCTAACGAGCTATGCTCTGGCATTGGAGGAGAGCGAGGACTTGCTGCTGGCGGAAAGCGCCAAATCAGCGAGATTCTTTTACGACGACGATGAGGACGAGGACGAGATTGAAGAGGTGGCAGAAGGATTGGGTGGGGAGGGTGAGGCGGCTGGTGGCAGGCCGGATTATATGGCCCGCGACATACGCATTCGTGTCAGCGTGAACGAATGCGAAGACGCTGATTGGCATCAGCCGGCGAGTGCGACATCCTATAATGAGAATCTGGCCGAGAGCACATTCTACCAGTCCCTCAATCAGCATTTGCAGCGCCAGGAGGTGGGCGATGATGTCGGATTGGAGGAACAGAATCTCCTGGTAGGCGAAAGAGTCGGGGGTGGCGGCGAAAGCTACCTGGAGCACTTCCAGCGACAAAGAGGCCGAAACTACGAAAGGGCTACGAACTCGGCGCATTATCCACGGGGTGAATTCTATGGATTCGGCAGGAGTACCGGAGAAGGTGGAGAACAGCCGGATGCGACCAGACAACGACGGGCGGACCTCATGGAGGCCCATTACGCCCGCAGCTATCAGTCGGGCCAGACCAGGGCAAAGGGCAGGACAAGGAACCATGGACTCGAGATGGAGCGACAGCACGCAGCAATCCCGACTGCAGGAGCAGCAACCACAGCAATGCCAGCTGCAACAGGCAGTGTCATCAATTTGGCTCTGCCGGGACAAAGCGGCGATGTTTTGTATGCCACCAGCAGCAAGCAGCAGATAACGATGCCGATTTCAGCCGCAGGTCCACAGTTCCATCAGCCGCATCCAGAGCCAGCGGCATTAGGGGGAGCAACAGCAGGAACAGTAACGGCAACTACATCAGCAGCAGCAGCAACATCGGTCCCAGGGAGCTTACCCGGAAATGCAAACAATCGCTATATGCTAGAGAATTTGCGCAAATACTATGCGAATCAACAGCAACACCCGCCCGCGCATTCGGTTAACTCCTCCTCGTTGTCCAACTCCTCATCATCGAACTCATCAATGTCACAGCAGCAACAGCAACATCAGCAACTAAAGCTCAATCTGAACCTGCAACCCACCGCGCCCAAAGTGCAGCAACAACATTTGGGCAACCGCCGAAACTCGAGCACATCGAACGCCTCCTCGACCGCCGACAACTTCGACACCTTCATAACGTTGCGCAATGCCACGGCAAATACAAGCACGGATTATATGGCCAAACAGCAGCAACATCGTCGTGGCAAGCAGCATCAGCAGCAGCAGCAACAACAACAGCAATCCGTGCCGCTTACCTCAGCTCTGAACTATTACGGACACGGGGCCACGCCCACAATGAATCCCGCCCTCGCCTACAATGGCAAATTAACGGCAACCGCAATGTTGTCACAAGTAAATTTAAGCAGAGCAGCCGCAGCGACAGCAGCAACATCATCGTCCAGTGGACCGGCAGCAGCAACAGCAGCAGCAGGAGCAACAACAACCACTGCTGTCCCACTGCTGCTGCCGCATCAGCAACATTCGAGGTCCACGTCCAAGGGTGAGGGCTTCATCCTGGAATATGAATGTTAGCGCCCAATCGGAATGCCATCGATCGAAGAAGGGGGATTGCTAGTTGTTTCTTTTTCGTTTGCTATTTGTTTGCCTTGCCAAAAATTACAATTACAAATTGGCACATTTGCTTCTACGCTGATTAGGACTCGTGTGTACAGATAAAGAGTATGTAATATATATATATGAACAGAGAATATAAGGAGAATAAGAGAATCGGAGGAGGAGCAGCCCATCAGCCAATTATTCGTATCATATCAGACATGAGGGGATAGTTAAATCGTTTGCATAGAAGAAGAGATTTGCTTATCCACTTTGATTATGTTAGGAGATAAATTAACGTAAACTACGACAATAATGCAACAATTCAATTAAAATTGACAAAGATATGGATAACGATAAAGCGTACATTTATTAGTCACAATCTTAGCAAAGGACACACATACATTGAAGCAGCATAAATCAAATTTATAGTTAAATCAATTAAACATCCATGTTAAGCGTTCTCCTAAATGTATGTGTATGTATATCTATCTATAAAGAAAAACTAAACGTAAACGTAAAGAAGAGTGTATATGAACGTAAGCGAACCCTAAATGTATACTGCATCCTATAAGAATTACGAATTTTTCGAATGTACTTCAAACTCAACTTTAATTAATCGCCGGCCCAGTTTTTAAAGTTTTTGTTTTCCATTTTGCAAATCAAACTCGTGCAAAAAGTTACTACAAAAAAGAGGTACATAACTACAATTATATGCATAACTATCTACGCTCGTATTTAAATGAAAGTTCTGGCTAAGAAACTTGCCTGAAGTTTGTGGAATTGTAAAAGGGAGGAAAAACCAAGCACTCAGAGCTTCCACTCGATTAAACGAACCGAAAAATAAGCTTGCTATGAAAACCCATTATGTTTCTGAAACCGAAATTGATTTGAAGAGGTTGCTTTTGAGTTAATATACAACTACAACTAGCTATGGCCGAGCAAGTCGCCGTTGAGTGCCAACAGCGATCGTCTTTAATGAGCGTACTGTACGTATGCGCGATATTTTCTCATTAAACGTCCGTCTGAGTGTCTGAGTATGTGTGCTTACAACCACATAAATATTTGTACAACGGCCCAAAAAAAAGGAATGGGAAACTCACGCACACACTGGAGAGTCACAAACATGCCGATTGCTTTGGGACGACGACGACGACGAACACATACACACATATGAAAATTGCAAAAGGGCTGGGGAAAAAAACACGCAGGCAACGCGGCGTATGTGCAATGTATTTCATTTCCATGCCACAACGGCGTCTGGGGGCCTCCATGCAATTATCTGTGTGCGCGCAATTTATCTCATTTGCGGTTGAGTTATTTCCGACTGCAGCAAATAATACTGCCAGCCAACGTCCAGATCGCATTGGTCTGTATGTATGTGTGTTCTGGCTTATTTTTTTGTGCCAACCAAAACACCCGTGGCACCCAAAAGTCCCTCCATCGAAATACCTCACCCAACTCCAACGCCTCCTGCCACCGCCTCATATGCCGCAACACACTTTTCCGCTTAATTTACTGGCAGGCGGCAGCTGCCTTCGCTGCATTGTCAGTTGACAACAGCAATTGCTGCATAATGCATGCCCAGGACTCTGTGTAAGTTCTCCTGTCAACGTTTCTGTCCCGTACCTCTCGCATTCTCCTTCACCCCATGTCCTCATCCATTTGCATGTGTATATGCTTGCATCTGTGTTGGTCAGGCTTAATGCATGATGCCGCCTCAATGGCTGTTTGCCCGCTCGCAACAATAATAATTCATTGGCTGCTTTATGGCTGACCATCAACTTATCGGCACAGTCGCCTCCCATCGCATCTGTCGCCCTTCCTGAAGCATATAAATTAATAAAAGTCAAATTAAAATTACATACTTTGATGACAACGTAGCGTTGCGATTGGACTGGAGGTGGACTTTTAAGGTGGGAATGTGGATATGTCGATGGTGAGATATGTATTTAATCATTATCGGCGATCGTTGACGTGAACAGCTTGCTCGGTCATAAATCTTTTTGATAATAGATTTTCACCTTAATTACGTATGATTTGTGTGTTTTAACTTAGCTTGTGTTTTAGTTAACCTGCTGATATAGTGTAGGTCTAGGTTGAAAGATACTCATTTTAAACTAAATAGGTGAAGAATTTTGCATATCTAAGCAGAAGACGGCTTACTCTAAGACTTCCACCAGCTTGTGTTTCATTCATATCGTATGGGAAAGCCTGTCAATTCAGCTAGTTTTTAGTTACCGACTGAGGACAGACACCGAAAAACAATTACTGCTACCAAACAACGAGACAAAGCACTTACTCGATTTGAAAACCTGTGTTCAGGACAAGAACTGCCGCCAAGCGTGCATTTTGTACAACTTGAATTTTTTCCACCTTTCTATATATTTCTATATACTTATACACATATATATACTTATATAATGCCTAAGCCCTATGTTCGTGTGTTTACGTTTGTTTACGTTTAAGTAATGCAAGAAGAAGGAAACCAAAAAAAAAAACGATTCATTAAAATGAGCGGCCCCCGGCCGAGTTTACTTAAGTACGATATATATATATATATATATATAGCATTTTCTACATCACACAAAGTTAAGAATATATATATATATATATATATTTATAGAGTACCTATTGATACATACAGCGTATGTATGTGTAGGTGATCGATCTTGAACGCATTCATTATGTTTTACGTTAACATGCTAATGCTCATTTAGTTTACATTATGTATATGTATGTATAACTTATGTTAATGATGTTACTACTACTACTACAAAATACTACTACCAAAATTTATTCGATTCGATTAGTTTTCCTTTTCGATATGAGATTGAGATTTCCCGAAGGTGCAACAACAACTATATTGTAATACTCAAAACAAAAAACATATAAAAAAAACCAAAAAAAAAAAAACAAAACAAAACAAAAAATACCAAAAGTTATATACTCTCCACACCAAGCGGAATGTTTTTCCTTGCCCGCCCCTCAAAGAACCATGTAAAGCATTAAATCAAAGCAAATAATCCAGTAATCAGTAATCCAGTACTCCAGTAATGCTGTAATGCTGTAATCCAGTAACCAACTGTCTGTGCTCGATGCATTTTGTGCAACTCAAAACAATTCCAGTTACTCGTACGTTCCCAAACATTTTCGTTTCGATTTGTTTTAGTTTTCGTTTTTGTTTTCGTTTTCGATTTCGGTTTAGTTTTCGGTTACGATTTTTGTTTCGGTTTCTGTTCCCATTTCCGTTTCCGTTCGTATTTGTATTCGTATTTGAATTTAAACTTGTATTTGTACTTGTGTTTGTGTATCCGTCCAACACACTTTTGTATATGACAGTGTTTAGCAGCAAGAGTCATGCGATATATATACGATATGAGAAAGCAATGCGAGTTCCATAATCAAGTTTTTATTGCCTGCTTTTGGGCGCGCGCGTGTCGAAAATATTTACACTTTCATTTTGTCCAACATGCAACGTTAGCTTGCCCTGTGTGTGTATGTTTGTCTGCTGCCTGCTTGTTTGATTAACAACCTGCAACATGTTTTTGCCTTATCTCTTTCGGTTTTTCATTCTGGCCATTATGTTTCTGTTTTCTGATTTTTACCTCCTTCTGTTTTTATTTGGCTCTCTTGTCTTAGCTGGAATTCAGCCAAACTGAGAATGTAACCGCAACGAATGTGAATTGCTATAACCTGATTTTTGTGTGTGTTTTACCAACTCTCTCTCTCACTCACTCTCTATATAAATCTCTCTCTCTCTCTCTGTCTGAAGCCTTATTCGTGTTGTTTTTTATTATAATTTTGCCTTGCTTCCTGCCAGTCGTGATTATTTTTATTGCTCAAGGTTTATACATCAGATTTTACTACTTGTTTACTACTTACAAAATACATTTTGTATATGTGTGTGTTTTTTGCATTTTGTATCTTGTATGCGTGTGCCATTAGCGTGTATCGATGTGAGTGTGTGTGTGTGCTGTGTACTGTATACCAATTTGATCCGAAAAGTTTTCTTTGGGTTTTAATTAACCACAGAGCTGAGAAAGCTAGCAGACGGATTGAAATCAGCCGACAGGCCAGAATAAATACCATTATCTTTTGCATACTTCTGCATTTGTTGTTTACGCTCTCAATGCGAAACAAAACTCATAAATAAAAGGCCCAGACACGCACCACAAACTGTCAGTGCATAAATCACAAGCAACTTGCAACTTCTGGCCGACAAATGGCCCCGAACCCAAGGCAAAACTTTTGGCCCATCCGTCTGCCAGGGCAAACATTGCCCTGCAATTTGTTAAGCGCCAGCGAAATTTGGCCAAATCAACTAAAAACCAGTTGCACCAGTGCACCATTTAACAATTTCACGCGCCTTTTGCCTTCAAGCCAACAAATCCCAACTTGAAATCAAGTTTCAGTTTATCCAAGCCAATCAGTTTGAGAAAACAAGAAGAAAAAGTGGGCTTTTAAACTTGAGCTAATCGCATAATCCAATTAGCTCCTGCCACAGTTCAACTTGCAACATATTTCTGCAACATACAGCCTTGAGGGCCACTTTGAGAATTTTTGAAAAATGTCTGTTGGTTAGGCAATGCCAAATTAATGATTGGGTAACTGACTAACAAGTTGGCTAAATCCAAATCTACTTGCCAGGTATTTCAAGGTATCTTTTTGGCCAGCACACACACACACACACACCCATAGGCACTGCCCAAAAACACACACCATCACAGGCACCGACGCATGAATGCACTCGAAATGTTCACATTCACAAAAGCAAGAGCACATTTTCACAGACACACAACCACCAGAAAAAGGGTTTCAAGATGCAGCTTAAATTAATTTCAAATTGAAATTAATCAGAAATTTTCTAAGGGATTTAATTAGAAGTTTTCCTTGAAGTGAGCTTTAATCTTCATACTCACTAACATCTTCACGCATTATGAATTCAAAACAGAATTTTTGCGCAATTATGACAGTTAATTACAAGCAATTAAGGTTGTAGATGAGCTCTTCGATCCATTTAGCCGGCCATCCGTTTATCCACTCACCCCACTCGCATCGAGGGGCAAACAAATCAGAAAGCAGTGCAAATAATAACAATAATAATACCATTACCACAACAGCAATCATCATAATGCGCAATTTTAATAATTTCATTCCGCTGTCAGTCATAAAATTGGTTTGCATTCATGCCCAGGCCATAAATAAGTGCGTATGAATATTGCGAAAGGCAATTCTCTCTCTTTAAAATGTATTCCGCGCACAGAAATTAATTAAAGTCAAAAGGAAAAAATGTAGCGAAAAATCTTTTTTATTTAATTGATAGAATTAATAATCACAGGGGGGAAGTATGGAAATCGGACACACACGAAAAAAAGAGCAAATGCGCCTTATTCATGTTACAATTATCGGAATTTTTATCCACCTGGCACAATGTTTGTTACGCAATTCAGTTTAATTTCATATTCTTTATTTATTTTTTGCGTGTGAAACAATGAGTAACAATTTGTCGAAAGTACTTAAATCCTGTTTTTGTTTGGCAATCTCATTTGGTATGGTGTATGATCAAAGTTTACCCATCTGTGTGTGTTTAACCAATATATTTTCGGTTTAGTGGCTCTGAGCTTGATTATTTGTTTTGATTTGTATGTTAAATGTTCTTCATAAGCAACCACACTTTTTTGTATTTTGTGTGTTATTTTTATATACCAAGCTAAGTATTAAGCAAACCAACATTTATCCCCCTCCCTCCTTCCGTTTAGTTGAAGGTCAAAATATACGAAACCGAGCGTTTGCAGACGCCAATTAAAATTGAAATAAAGAAGTCGAGCCAAGATCTGGCTAAGGCCAAAGATGTGACCGATATTTGAACCAAGTCGAAAATGATTTTTCGTTGGGCCAACAATTAAATGCAATGTATAAATGTATGCACCTTGTATTAATTTATTTTTATGTATAAATAAATTTATTTAATATTATTAATCTTAGTCTTGATTTTAGCAAACGCAACTGATATGATTTCAATAAAATGAATCTGATTTTTGTAATCCAATTATGTATTTTCTTTATTTATTTATTTATACTAACTAAATGCAACTCCTAACAGTTTTACTCACCCCTCTGTCAAGTTTAATATCTTGCACCAAGTTCTTACGATTGTTTATTTAAGTTGGGATGGTTTTCCACTTATTAAGCCCCTGCAGGTCGTGTTTTTAGTATTTTACTAATCATAATCACACTTTAATCTTAGAAACAAGAATTGGGATTAAGAAATAAGCCGTTCTTACTTAGTAAAAATTTCTTATTAGTTAAAAATTCATCTGGAGCTTAGGTCTTAAACCCCTGATACGTATCCATAACTTATAGAGGAAGTACATAAATTTAAACTTATGAAAATGCAGAAATCCCTTGATTAGATTAGTAGAGAACCTTGAATTACCGTCCCTGCAGAAAGTTAGTTAAACTGGCCAATAGTTAGATACTCTCTTTAACCCCCCCCCCTTACTCCCAAAACTCACATATGTATGTAACTATTTAGTTTTAAATATCCATATTATATTCCCAGTTTTCGCTCTAGCTCTCTGTCTCGTGTTTGTGGCATTTTGTCTACTTTGTTTGTACTTCATTTATATAGCAATCTTCATGGAATTGTTTAAGCAAAACAAAACTGAAAACAAAAAGCCGGCAAACAAATAAGTTATATAAATATTTATACAATAATTATTAATAATGCAGAGCAAGTAATTTATAGAAAATGCAAAAAAGAAAAAAAAGAACAAAAAAGCAAACAAAAAACCCAATACCGTTGAGGGGAAGAAAGAAGAAGGAAGAAAGCATAAGTAACACATTATGAATGAAACAAATTTATAACGAATAAAAACAATTTAATTGCGAATGCGTGTGTGCGTGTTAATATTTATTCATACTCGTATTCACATGCATTCAGTTTTGTGTGCCTTAATACTTTTGCAGTTGAGTTTTCCCATTAATATTGCATTGGGCATTATTATTAATATTGATTTCGTTCATTGTATTTCCCACTTTGTCGATGTGTGCGCCTCGTGTGTGTGTGTGTATGCGTACGCAAATGCGTGTGTATGTGTGTGTGTGTGTGTGCCATGTGCCTTGTGCAAACGTTTGGATAATTTTCTCTTTGTATGTATGGATGGATATGAAACAATAAAACATGTTTTTTTCTCTCCCCATTCCCCCTCCTTATGTTTTTTTCTCCGTTGAGTTCTGATTTATTCATGAGAACGCAGAGCTCTCAGTTTTCCCCTCAGCACCCCTTTTTACTACCCGCCCCGCGTTATGAATTTTTTAAAGCTCTGCGCGCAGACTACCACTCAGCATCCATCCATCCATCCATTCACTGTTAGTTGATTGAATACCAATACTCCCACATACACAGAGATTGTCGCGTTTAGTAGATACAAATACTTATATATATATAGATACAAATCGATCTTGGATCTCATCAGCTGGCCACGCCCACTTTGCGTGACACAAAAACCAAATGAAAAAACACCGCCCAACACTCACTCCACCAACACTCTGACCACTTGGCATTTGCTTCAATTTGAATTTGTATATGACTTTGAATGCAAAACCTTTTCTTTAAGTAATGTCTGTGATTTGTGTTAACCGAACTTAGTATACTAATAATCATTCACCAATTTCCACGTATGAGATTCTTTTCAAGCGGTACCCAAAAATATAAGAACACCGAAGTGAAGGCCACCGGAAAGAAGCGAGGATTCGGCTAGAGAAAAGCTTTTAAAACCAAAAAAAAAGAAACCAATTCTTCCGACATAGGAAGCAGTTAACCAAAAAAAATATAAAAGAAAGTCCTGCAGAAGTATTAACAATTTTTAGAGCTTTTAAATTAAAAGTACATTTTTGTTTTTAAGTGTGTTTTTAGTTTTGATTACGTGGACTTGGTGAGCAAACCCCATCCAGCCAGAAAACCCCTCGTCTTGCTCCTCTCTCTCTCTCACTCTCTGTCTCTTGTCTCTCTCTCTCTATATATATATATTATATTATATATACGCATACTTGTAAATTGTTTAATTGATATGGATTGATTGATTGACTGACCTTGACTATATATATATATATAAAATCCACCTATACGACATGTATACCTTATATTAATGACTATGAATATTTATGTAAAGGATTACATTTTACTTTCTCTTTTGATGAACTTTCGATGATGTAATAATAAGCGAATGAACTGAATTGAATTTTCCTTTGATATTTATACCTCCAAGTAAACACACACACACACACAGTCACACCCGAAAAGAACACACATATACAATTATATATATATATATCTCTATACGTATATATCCTGCCGGAAGTTGCTGCCGTTCGTTCCTCGTTCGTTCGCTCGTTCGCTCGCTGATTGATGATTGATGATCGTGGTTTGCCAATTACAATACTACCTATATATATATATATATACTACCTATATATTCCCCACACACTCTACAAACTTTCGATGAGCTGAGTCATGATTTGTTATGTGGTGCAAGCGGCATACGAACGTTTTATTGGAGTTTTACTTTCAACTCATTTTCGTTTCGATACTTGTGTCCAATATATCTACTACATATACACATAATTATATATAAAACTAAAATATTAACCAAAAAACCGATGAATTATCCTACAATCTAGCCACTAGTGTACGCTTCATCCAGTGCATAATATTGTAATGTTAAACTGAATGTCTTTCTTGTGATAACCAAAAAAAAAAAAAACAACAAAAATGAAAATTTCCCACAGAAAAACTGAAAACTCCATCTAACACGCAAGACACCTGTCTAGAAGAACAGACTTCGAAACACTCAAGTACACTCTTTGAACACGGCATTCCATACATTTTCCGAACCTTTGCTCCCTAATCATGGCACACACTGCGCATACTTGATATTTTAACAATTCGCCTAGCTGCACCGCCACTCTCTAGCTATCTCTCTTTAACTATCTCTCTCTCTCTCTCTCTCTTGCACCGACGCGAAACAGATGCCACTGAAAAACTCATTATAAATTAATTAAGCAAGCAATTAATAATTTCACGTTCAATTTAAGTTTGTAAATGAATTAATGTTTCCCCAACACCCAATACCACTAGCACCCAAAAAGAGACAAGAGCAACATAACAGCCGAAACTAGCCACACTAACCACGCCCACTTTCCTATATACCCTCAACTACCTTTCCATCTTTTTTTTCCAACACTTTTGTTGTCATAGCCTCTAAGCCAGGCATAATTACCCGTGCATTTTAACACCCTTTAGCCCCCTTAGAGCTTCAGATGAGCACCACCAACACCACAGCCCCAAACACCTCCTTCTCACACCACTCCTTCCCCGAAAAATGTAATTTACATACGGCAACAAGCAACTTCGTTTTAGCCTTTTTTTCCATGTTGTTCCTAACTAGTTGGAGAGAGAAAAAGTTTTTTAATGTACGTACATACTTTTTTGCATTTCAGTTAATTGCAATTTCGAATATTTTTAGCTAGCAAAAAAACATTAACATAAATTGACTGAAATTGAATTAAGCATTTCACCTGCAGCCATAAATGAAAATTATAATTTTGTATTATTATTATCTACCAATCTCTCTCTCTTAAAATATATATGTCTCTATCTGTCGCCCGTTCGTTTTTGTGCTTGGTTTAAAGTTGTTTTTTCTGCATTGGCCATTATTTTGCTTTTATTATTATCGAACTTATAATTAAGTTTTCCAATTGCATTTTCATTTTTTACCCGTCCGTCTCTCTCACAATCTCTGCACTAAACTAGCACAAAGAAAACTAAGCTCGTTGCACTCAGCACCACTTTTTGATTGAAACTTTTATATGGTATATAACTATATATAGACTAGTAGGCATAAGAGATTTTCCAGCTAAAGAAAAGCGCCTTGTGAGCTATCAAATGGAAGGCAAAAAGTCTTTCAGTAGCCAAAATACGAGTAAGTACTGATGATGATGAAAGCTGCCCAGATGAATTCCATAAATATCTCACATTCCCTTTAACAATCATCTCAAGACGCAGCTTAAGTGCAAACCGACCTGAATATGGCCCCATATGATTTATTCCACCCAGATAGTTGACTCCCACGTCATTGCCTTCTTATGGCCTCGTTATTTGTGAGCCTTTCCTTCAACGACGTCTTAATGGCTCATTGCATTGACAAACACACGTCGACACAGGCCCTTGCTAGAGACATACTGACAAACATAAGAGTTGGGGAAAGAACATATAATGCTCTGGCATTAATTTTATTATATCTTTTGCTGGACTTCTTTTGCTTTCCTTCTACGTCATTTGCCTGCTGCTGCTGCTGCTGGTCCTTGGTGGTAGGGAAAAAGGGCAGCTTGGAAAATTCCAAGGAAACTTATTATCCAATTCAATGGAGACGAGCTGCAAAAGTACCCTATAAAAAATAGCACCTTACTTAACTTATTTGCCAATTTAGTATTAATAAGATCATATCAATCTAAATATATTGCATATTTATAACCCACAGAAACTATAGTTAGAAGAATTACAAAGAGATCAACTTTTAAGGCTGATTTCTTTAAGGTTCTTTTCTCCAAGCCATGCTTAAAATTGTTTAAGAAAATCTTTCAACCTTAGAAATATCTTTATTGTCAAAGAGGTAACTGCAGTTCACTGCTCGCCGACATTAATAAATTTTATTATTTTCATGCTCCGTTGTTTCCGTCTGAAAAGTCCTCAGTCTTCGCTGCATTTGTCGAACGGCATGCAGATTTTATTGTATTTCGTTATAAGTTCAATGTACCATAAATTTCCGAAAATGGATTTATGTTGCACTACCGCCCTATCTTCAGCTTTCCTCGACTCTCCCCAATGCCCCCCGTAATTTATTGCGTGTGCATTTCCGTTTCGAGTTCATCGAGCCAGTCGAATGCCTCATCGCCTTAAAGAGTTTAATTCAGCCATTTGGCAATGGGTTCTTTTCTGAGAATCAGAAAACAATTTTAATGCCAGAAGAGATGACATGGCGGGTTGGAAAAGTTTACTTCTGGGCCACAAGCCACGTGAAACAAAACAACTCGCAGACCATAAATTCGTGCAGCTGCTGTTGGTGATACTGCTGTTGCTCCTGCAGTGCAGTGCAGCCACTTTTGACACCACCGCCCACCGGCTTGCGAACTAATGACAAGCCTCGCAAAATGAAGAAACAATGCGCGCATAAATTACCCTCAAGGCGGTGCCCGAAATTGCATAGCAATGGCTTGGAAGCGAAAACTAAACGTAGTAGTGGGCAAAAAAGAATCTCAACTGACAGGGGAAAAACTACGAGGAAAACCAAGAGGGAAAATGGCTGGTGCAGTGGGATTAAGGAAAACAATGGCGCATCAAATTACAGCTAACAACAAACAGCGAGTCGAACTCGCCTTGGCAGACAACTGCCACGCCCATCGACCGAACTTTGCATTGTCGTGGTTCGGTTTTTGTTTCAAAGTGCCACACGCCGTATACGCAATTTGCTGCCATGTGTTTGCTGCGATTGTGTGTTCGAGTGTATGGATGTGTGTGTGTGTGTGTTGTCTATTGTAATTTGGCGCTATTATTAAAAATCCTTTATGACGCCTCCTGGCAGCTTCAGCAACAGCAGCCGCTCAGATTTCAGTAAACGCATTCTGCGCGCTCTAATTGCGCCATTAAAAGATGACAAACAAAATTCCCCCCAGACTCCAGACAACGGATTATTCCGCCTCCCCTTCGTCGAATCCTGGACTCCGTCTGGAATCCCCCGGCTCTGGCCACAGATTCTGGTTCTAGCCCATAGTCTATAGTCTTATAAGACTGCGAAGACAAAAGCAACGAACAACGGCGTAAGGCGAAAGGCATTTAATATGCTTTTTATGCGTTGCCTGCTATTTTTTTTTCGGCACTTTAGCGCGGATGTCATAAATGGCATGCTCCATGGAAAAGTAAAGTTTCCGCCGGCTGTACCACTATAAATGTAATTTATGTCTGCGTACATGGCTGTGTGTGTGTTTTTGCAGGTGCATTTTATTTTTTAATATGCTCCGGGCAAACACAACACATGAAATTTGAATTTTACGCGACCGCCTTGCTTCTTTTTCAACGTGGGTTAGCCAAGTTAAATAGTAAATATACCCAACTAGTGGCCGTGTAACTAACTCAAATACGCAACCCGCTTTCGTCGACTTTTTCACCTTTTGGCATCATCGCATCTGCACACCTGTGCGGTGATGCTGTCTGCGTGTGTGCTTAACCTCCGCTTAATAAGTCACTTTTTGACACAACAGCTAATGCAGCTACGTGGAATTAAGTTATTAGCGTTGGCATAACTTTTTGACAGCATTATATTGAATTATCTGGCGGATTAAAGTTTATGATCCATTATAAAAAGAAACTAACTAAGCTAGCAATGAGACAAATAGGCAATAATTAATCATTTTTTAAAAGTTAATACTTTAATGGACATTTTAATACACTTGAATTCATTTTAAATGTTAAATAAAAACTGAATCTAACTTATGGGGATAAATAAATAAATAGACTTTGCAACCTTCTTGAAAGCCACCATTAGCACCAATTGAGCATTAAAGCCAAGTTAAGCCAGTCCTTAAAACAAACAACCTTGAACATAACAATAAACTAGAGCAAATGATGAAGTTATTTCCTTAAACTTTCCAGGTCATTCAATCCCTTTTGAAATACACTAAAAACCGCTGCAAAAGCCGCCTTCGTCTTAGAGATAAAATTTGGATTTTCCCTTTTTTTCCCCCGTTTATGCAGCCTTATTGAAAAATTAAACTTGTAATAAAATTTAATGACTTGGCGGTTTTTAATAAAAAAAAACGGCAACGCCTTAACCAACAGAAGTGAGAGGAAAATGCCCGCAATTTAAGCGCAAATTTGTGTTCATAATCACAATTTTGGTACCTTTTTCTCTCACTCTCTCTCTGTTACCAGGGCGGTAATGACCACACAAAAATATTTTTTTTTTT